GTTTACTTTTTATAATGTTAAGCTTCCAAATGATTCTATACAATTGTCTGTTAAGTTTTTAGAGTGACAGCAAGAGTATTTGGATCATATTGAAAACCATAATTACTGTTACTTTCAAAAAGATTCGTGATAAATGTACAATAACTTTCTACGTTTATTTTTTCATCTATTTCTTCTATATCAGTATTTATATAAAAATAAATACGACTTGTACAGTCTTCGTTACCGTTTTCAAGAAATTTTACAGGTTGAACATGGTTGTCAAAAAAGTCAACAACTCTTCCTTGTGCATACGAAAGTTTTTTACTAAAATCTTCATCTGCTCTAAGATTTTCTTTTTCTCCTATTTTTATCAAAGTATTTAAAGAAAGATAAATTTCATTTAAAAATATTTCTTTAGCACGCTTTCGTGGTAATTCAACCATTTCAGAAAAATATAATAATGAGTTTTTCATCTTTTTAAGTTCTGTGCAAAAGCTTTGATATTTTTCGACTAAACTTTCTAGACATATTTTTTCTAAATCATCTTTGTAGTAATTTATACAATTCAACCGTAAATATACCGTTAATTTGATTAGTTGATGTAGATCAAGAGCATAATGAACGCTCAATAACAAATGGAATTGCCATACTCTATCGATAAAATTCTCTTCTGTAATTATATTATCGTCCTTAAATAATGTATTTAAACGAAAATATTCATCTTCATTTTCAAAATTCCGACCAAAGAATGTAAATTGATTAGCATATTGATGCTCTGTTAATTTTTTCCACGCTGTGTGTTGCACCAAAGTATTAAATTCATTAACAGTTATGGCCGTTACTCTAAAATTAAGAGCATCATAAATAAAAAGTAAAGAAAATAAATACAATTGAAACATTTTGTAAAAATTATTTTTCATAAACAATACGATAACAGAGAAAATACGTCTTCCTTTTTTATACTAGTAATTGGAACTCTTTTCTTTACTTAGAAAAAAATACACAATTTTTATTTTCGGTCAAATTTACAATATTGGGTAAATAATGTCTATTAAAATGTACTTAAAAAATTCGTATTTATGCAAATATAGAAAACGTGTGTTATTATTTAACAATTAAACGTCAATGCTATTTTTAAATTATCTAGTGAATAATATTTTCAGTGATTATAATAATTTTTTTACAAAAAATTATTATTATAAAAAAAGTAAGACGAAAATTTTTTTTATATTTGGTGTATAAAATAAAATATTCGTCAAAAATATCAGTTTATGTTTGAAAACTTTAATATATATTTATTATATGAGATAAAATTACGAAAAATTCTACTTTTCAATAATTTCAATAAATTTTTGGAGGGGGTTTAATATTATATTTAACTTCGCTCTCTGAAATTTCTTTTTATATAATTATACATGTTTTTTTTTTTAATTTTGTAGGTGTTAAATTTAAAATTGGAGTGACTAAGACTCTTTAAGCTACTCCAGTTTGCGCTTATGTATATGTTACAGTTTGGCTCTAAAGTAGTAGGTAAATTAGTGTATTAGGAGGATTTTTAAGAGCCATTATCAGAGTGGAGTAGTCTATTTTGTATTGGTACTTCAATTATGTTCATATATCGGCCATTGGATATCGAGAAATAATACTGATCTAAACCCTTGGTCAGATTTTTATAAACTCAAGTTATAATGTACGTGAATTAAAAAATATATTTAGTGAAAATCGTAACTTTGATATTATATTTTTAAGATTTCCTTAGAGTATGATTCGATAATAAATACACTAACTGCATTTAATAGGTTATACAAAGCCAGATTAAGACCAAATGGTGCCCGAAGCTGTTCCTTGAGATGGCTCCCCTATGGAAAATATTGGTACCATAAAAAGTGACGAACAAAAAAAAAAAACCCCGATAAACTCTGTCATTATTCATGACTAGGCTAGTAAATTTCGAGATGGGCCCCGGGGCGTTCGTCCCCCTTANTCGGCACTGGTGTTTAAGGGACTTAGGCTACTAAATTGGAAAAACATAGATATTAGACTGCCTGAAAATTAATTTGTAGCTTCTCAAAAAGTTAAATGTATTTATAAATTTTAATTATAATTTAATTCATTATATAAATTTCAATATCAAAAATATATACTAAATAAGAAAAGTATATTTTAAACACAATATTTTTTCATTTGCAAATACAATAAATAGTGTAAATAAGTTTTTAGTCTGAATGCAATATACTTATAAATTTAATTGTACTTGTTATTGATTATTTTACTAACAAATAAGTTAGTAAGTTTGAATTTAGATAGAAAACTCCATTTTATTCGATTTACCAAATCAACCGTTACTTAAATATTAATTATGTGAATTGCTTATATAAGATACTACTTCATGTGTTAATTTTTTAGAAAAAAAATTATAACAGGTTGATGTGGGGAAATTATAAATGCATTTTGATAGATAAACGCACAAGTTATTAATCGAACTTGCATTTAACAAACTTAAAATCAATCAAATTTCTTGACTCGCGGAAAACAATTTAAATTTAAATACACGTGTG